GGGGGCGGGGAGCAGCTTTTCTCGCCCCGGAGTACACGGGCGGCGGGACCGCGAGGTCCCGCAGTCTGTGTCCTCCGGGGCGAGAAAAGCCCCGGCATATAAGATGACCCCCAATTTTTGGGGGATGTTTTTTAGCATAAAAAGTCGTCTTATACGCCGGAAAATACGGTAAATAATAGCACAGAACACTGAGACACAGAACTGGTAGCAGGAAACAAACTTTATGGGACTGTGGGAAATTTAGCCATAGCCATAATAAGTGAACATTGGGGTAACTAAAATCATCCTGGACCATGGATGTTGCCAGACTAGAGAGTTTCAACCTATACTATTTTTGTTGACTTACGTAAAATACAATGGCTTTTTTTTTTTTTTTAAACACAGTTGGAAGCCAAAGGGGTAAAGAATCCTATGGTGCCTTTTAATGTGATGGCAGCTGGGGCTAGTTCTATCCTTGGGCAACAAGAACCTGGAGGACCTCCTGCCAAACCACAACTTCCATTGAAACCCAGTACACCAGTTATCTCTATGACTTCAGCTTTGAAGGAAGTGGGTGTGGTAGGTATTTCCTTAAAATCTAAAATGAGTAAAAATGACATCTGCTTATCTGGCACAAGATTTTAGATATATTAGTCCAAGACTTGTCAGAATCTATACATTTTTGTTTAACACTGCAGGTTTCTAATGAGATACCTTAGAAATTGATGGAATTAGTATTGGTATAAATTACATATCTATCAAGTTCATTGCGTAGAGATAATTTATAATTATGATTGGTCAACTTGATGTACTATCAGTGCAAACACTAATAATCCAGCATATCATCACTTTAGCTAATACATATTAAAGTCCAGTGAAGCCAGGGTTTTGCCCACTGTCTGGGAACTTTGACAGCCATCTCCACTTTCCACTTGGGCTCCCGGGGCAAGACTCTCTTCACAGATCCCATGGTACATAGGTTTCTGAAAGGCTTTCTCTGCATGTCCATCAGCCCATCCCCTAATGGGACTTCAGCCTGGTCCTGTCCAAACTCATGGGGCCTTCCTTTGAGCCCCGGCAACATGCTCGCTGCTGCACCTTTCTTGGAAGGTCAGGCTCTTAATAGACATTTAGGGGTAAATGTGATGTCATTGGGAAGCTAAAGCATGAGTTATTTTTTCTTTCCTCCTTTGTCTCTGTATACCTCAGACAGTATGGTGGTGGTTACAAAACAATTTTTGAACTTGGACAACTGTTTTGTATTACTACTTTCTACAGAGTTTCAAATTGTTTACTAACTGTATCCGAAGTTTCAGAAGATTGTAACTGGTGTCACCATTATTTTTGTTGTCTGAGCCAATAGCCAATTGCTCTTTCTGTATTCTGAGACCTTAATCCTGCAAACAAATGTGAACTTAACTTTATTGTTGTGAACATCCATTTAATGATTTCACTAAAACTAAAGCAGAAGCAAAAGTAAGGCCATGACATGCATAAGTGTTTTCAAAATTGGGCCTTTGAATAGTATCTTTAGCAATTGGGACATGATATCCTTCGGGGAGGGGGGAGGAGTTCAGATATACAATCAACAGAAATATGTAAGAATCCATTTTTTCTCTATATGGATACTTAAATTTCTCATCATGTCTCCTTTATAGTTAACCATCCATCTTGTATTATTGTCATGTTGATTCTTTTACATCTTTCTTTGTTCCCTTTTTTCCTATTTGAAACATCTCGTAGTAAACCATTGTCTGATCTACTCATCTGAACAAATTTAAACTCAGTCCTTCATATTTCTTTAAATCATTCACTTTGTGCTACTTTAAAAACTAATTTTTTTATCAAGTTCCAAGAGTGTGTCTGACTTGCAGTTGTTTTTATGGTCTGATCATTGATATGGATCTCGTCATATTTGGATGTTGAAAATGAAAATGAAGCTTAGAGTGAATAGCTGGTGGAAGGTCTGGAATAAAGATGTAAATTAGTATTGTAGCTACAATTCAGTGAATTTTTTTTTTGTCATTTTGAAAAAAATGTGGTCTCAAACTTGTACATGATTTGCTTTTCTACTTCAATTGATAATTTTATCAAGTAGCATATTTGCTCCTGAGAAATACCCCTCCCCCCCAAGCCACACTGTTTCAATTTCCACAATTTTTTGTGATAACCCTAAATCTTTTATCTTGTGGCTTAATAACTGTTGGCAAGGATTTACATTTTACCTTACAAGAATTCCATTTTAGTACATCATTGAGTTGCTTATTTCCTTCCACTTCTTTCAACTTCTAACTCAACAATGTTAAGTCAAATAAATTCAGCAGAGATGTTTGATAATGCCTATCACTCACAGTATTAACAGTCAGTTGTCACATTTACTATAACAAGAAACATTTAGTGAAATCAGTACACTGAATTCTGAACAATGAGCTTCTTGAGTTTATGTAGACCCTTATTATCATATACTCCACTTAAGTTTCAGGATTTTCTATATTCTAGCAAATTCTTAGTGGTGCACAGCACCATTCATTCTGCTTCGTCAACATCCATTGACACGTGATTCCACCCACTCTTTTTTCCCCTTCTAGAAAGTTGTTCTGGTTGGACCTCCCAGGTCTGGAACCATCGAGACCTGTCCAGCCCTGAATGAGAGTATTTACTGGACAAAGATCTCCTGCCGCCAGCCCCCAGTCCCATTATCTGCTGCCAGCAGGCTGCCCCAGCAGGCACCTTCTCTTGCCCTTTCCTCCCCCCAACCTGGCTGGGCTAATTGCCTAGCTGCTGCCAACTCCTTGGGCATCACAGGCTCCAGCTTCTGCCACAGGAG